GAGAGAGAGAGAGCGAGAGAGAGAGAGAAAGAGAGAGCGCGAAGGAGGCATCGAAAGAGAGAAGTCAAGAGTGTGTGAGAGAGCACAAAATCACAGCAAAACAAGTTCAATCCTTTCGGCTAGACTGACACCGCGCGTCGTTACGGCGCTGTGGTTGAGGGCTATATACACACCGCTGCAGATGAGCACCCCGTCTCCGGAGTATCCAGCTGTACAGGTACACGTGTAGCTGCCCTGTGTGTTGTCGCAGGTCGCCCTCAAGTCACAGTTGTCAACGTCTAACGCACATTCGTCGCTATCTGTGGAGCAGGCGAGCGAGGGGCACGTAAACAAAGAGTGTGCGTAAGGCATATATATATACCTCTCCATATCTATATTTACATCTTCATATATATATATATATGAAGATGTAAATATGGAGAGGTGATTAGGTTGGATTTTGAATAGCCTGCCGTTGAGATGCATGTAATATACGTTACATCAAAGTTAAACATGATTTCAGCTATCTGTTCGTGTTACATTATCGCTGTCGAATGCGTTTTAATATACGGGTTAAGATGTAGTGTTTATCACGAATGAAGAAGATTCTCAGTTTGTCGGTAGATGCAAGATACGTCGTGATATGGTAATTCACAGACAAATTCAATCAGACATTCATCGATATTTTACGACCAATCTTATCACCGAGCGCCACACACACACACATACGTCGGTAACCATGGCGACGTTGTCGTCTGCGTGCATACCTTCGCAGCTAGTGCCGCCACCTACGTATCCGTTGTCGCAGTCGCAGAGGAAACCTCCCGCAGTGTTTGTGCAGCTCGCACTCTCATCGCAGTTGTCCGTGCCTCGCGAACACTCGTCAATCTCTGCAAGAACACGAATAGTGCGCATGCGTGAGCAGCGCAGGAAATCGTCTGCCACGACGGAGATGGAACGCAGACCGAGGAGTAAAGGGACACGTGATTGAGTCGGAGACACGTGACCCAGTCGGTGACATGTGACTAAGTCAGTGAGGCGACACGTGACCGAGTCGGTGACACGTGACCGAGTCGGCGACACGTGACCGAGTCGGTGACACGTGACCGAGTCGGTGACACGTGACCGAGTCGGTAACACGTGACCGAGTCGGTGACACGTGACCGAGTCGGTGACACGTGACCGAGTCGGTGACACGTGACCGAGTCGGTGACACGTGACCGAGTCGGTGACACGTGACCGAGTCGGTGACACGTGACCGAGTCGGTGACACGTGACCGAGTCGGTAACACGTGACCGAGTTGGGCAAAAATCCAGACGCCGTTGTGTCAGAAGCAATAATTACCTGTAGTTTTAATTTTTAAGTTTTACATTGCGCATGCGTCATGACGATGATCATCAGTGTCGCACATCGACGTATGTTTTGGGCAACGACCCCCGCCGGTGCACGTGACGTCATCTCGGACGGACACGTGACTGCGTGATCACGTGAGCGGTGTTTACCTGTGCAGGTGTCGCCGTCGGCTTCGTAGCCCTTACGGCAGGAGCAGTCGAAGCTGCCGACCGTGTCGCTGCAGTCCATGCCTGGTTCCGTACAGCTGTGTGTGGCCAGCACGCACTCGTTAATGTCTGGCGACGAGACAGAGACACAAGCAGCGTTGAGTATATAGACGAGCGGAGGAGTAGCGATAAACTACTGCTGTTCACACACACACACACACACACACACACACACACACACACACACACACACACACACACGACACGACACGCACACACGACACACACACACANACATCAGCAGTGAACATACACGTAGAAACAATGTCTGCAGCAGTGAAGGAACGGCAGCATCAGCAGTGAACATACACGTAGAAACGTTCGCAGTGCCTCGTGCGGAGGCATGACGCACGAAGGTTAGCGCAACATGGCGTACGAACAAGCAGAATTGACGAATATTAACAGTTCTAATACGGTACTAGCGATATATATATATATATATATATATTTATATATATATCCTGTATAATATCCTCTATATATATATATTCTGTATACATATATCTGTTGAATGGGTTTTGTATATGCTGTCGGCATCCTTCGGCGATGCTTCCAACATTTCCCGAGCTTTTCCCCGGCATTCAGCATATTCCGGGATGCTTCCCGCATCTTCCGGTAGATGGCGGGAGGAGGCAGGAAGATGCTGCTGCTGCTACTCACCGCTACACTGCACGCCGCTGCCCTGCCATCCGCTGTCGCAAGTGCACGTGAAGCTGCCGTCAGTGTCCGTGCACATCGCCTGCGGGTGACAGTCGTGAGTTCCCTCCAAACACTCCATGGCAGCTGCAAGCAAGAGTCAGAGATGATCGCAGCAATACACCGATATCACACAGGTATCTATATTGTGAAGGCTGGACAGACGCGAATGTACGCTGATGAATATTCTTTTCTTAACCGATTTAGATTCAATACTGACAACAAATGTTTTTAGCTTAGAGTGTCTTCACACTCTCACGCGAATAACGTAATATATATATATATAATTTGTTGTGGGAGTGACAAGAGACATTAGTGATGAGAGAAGCGGAGAAAGAGAGAGGGAGGAGCGAGTGAAGACATGTGTAAAAGAGAGAGAGAGAGAGAGAGAGAGAGAGAGAGAGAGAAAGAGAGAGGAAACTTGAGGGAGAACAAGGGGAAGAAAGAGTGAGAGTGAGAGAGAGATGGTGTGTGTGTGAGAGAGATGGACAGCAAGCAACGCGTGACAGCACGTACATTCGCAGGCCCTTACTCCGTCCCCGGTGAAGCCCATGTTACACGAACAACTGTACGATCCAATGGTGTTCATGCAGCTGGCGCTCCTATGACAGATGTTGCTACCTCCTCGTAAGCACTCATCCACGTCTGCAAAGACAACAATGCACCGTTCACCTTTCATCATCTCAGCTCGCAAAATTCATGGTTTTCATCGCGACACCTGTCGATAATTGGATATATATTCTACGAGTATCTCCGTAGGGATATGAAACCCATTCGTATTTACCATAATGTCACTTGTATAGTCAACTATATTATTGTGCGCGGTATCGCCAACTACGTGAAAACTTCACGTGTAAGCACGAGTAAGAATGACCATGCAGGCACAAAGACGTCGGACCTGTCATTTCAATCCTAAAATCAATTTGATTGTAATCCCTTCTAGGTCCACCGACCATCCTTTTCTATGTTAAAATCAAGCTGGTGTAAATCATTCTAGGTTTACCTACCCGTCATTTTATATCCTAAAAGCAAGCTAGTTTTAATACTTCTAGGTCTACCAACCATATATTTCTCTTCTAAAATCAAGCTAGTTTTTATACTTCTAGGTCTACCAACCATATATTTCTCTTCTAAAATCAAGCTAGTTTTTATACTTCTAGGTCTACCAACCATCTATTTCTCTTCTAAAATCAAGCTAGTTTGAATACTTCTAGGTCTACCAACCATCTATTTCTTTTCTAAAATCAAGCTCGTTTTAATCCGTCTATAGATTGAAATCAGAATTTATCCTAACCCTTTCGCTTGCTGAGTAGGACCCCCATAGTTCGGCATACATACCTGAGCATGAGACACCGTCGCCGTCGAATCCAGGTGTACAATCGCAGTCGAACGAGCCGAGAGTGTTCGTGCATTGTGCGTTACGGTCGCAGGTGTGCGTGTCCGCCGTGCACTCGTTCATGTCTAAACACAAACAGTAAACACGTGTAAACACAAGCAGTAAACACGTGTGAACACAAACCGTAAACACGCGTGAACACAAACAGTAAACACGCGTGAACACAAACAGTAAACACGTGTGAACACAAACAGTAAACACGCGTGAACACAAACAGTAAACACGTGTGAACACAAACCGTAAACATGTGTGAACACAAATAGTAAACACGTGTGAACACAAACCGTAAACACGTGTGAACACAAACAGTAAACACGTGTGAACACAAACAGTAAACACGCGTGAACACAAACCGTAAACACGTGTGAACACAAACAGTAAACACGTGTGAACACAAACCGTAAACACGTGTGAACACAAACCGTAAACACGTGTGAACACAAACAGTAAACACGTGTAAACACAAACAGTAAACACCTGTAAACGCAAACAGTAAACACGTGTGAACACAAACAGTAAACACGTGTGAACACAAACACTGACCATGTTTAAATACAAACAGTAACCTCGCCTAAACACAAATAGTAACCACGTCTAAACACATATGTCTAAGCCTTATGCGTTACTTAACAACTTAGAAGCGACAACAAATAATAAAGTTTAATACTAATTATAATAATAATAATCATCATCATATTAATAATAATAACAAGAACAGCAATAGCAATACCAACATCAGCACCGACACGGACGACAACTACGACAATCTATATCACCTTAAAAGTCTTTGAAAGAGTTCTTCCATCCGTCAACGTGTCATCTTCTCTCTCTCGTCTTTCTCTCCCTCGCGCGCGCGCGCTCTCTCTCTCTCTCTCTCTCTCTCGCTCTCGCTCTCGCTCTCTCGCTCTCTTCTCTCTCTCTCTCTTCTCTCTCTCGCCTCTCCCTACCTCTCTCTCGCTCTCTCTCCTCTCTCACCCTCTCTTCGCAATCTCGCCCCGTTGATGACGCATATATAGCAGTTGACATCATCTTACCTCTACAGGTAACACCGTTGCCGGTGAATCCCGTCTCACAGGTGCAGGTGAACGAGCCATCCGTGTCCGTACAGAAAGCGCTGTTGTCGCAGTTGTCGACGTTCTGTATGCACTCGTTATCGTCTGCAATAGTTACACACGCGCAGCCGATTAAAGACGCCGCACAGACACAGGTATAGACGTGTGCATACATACCATAGAGCTAGAATAGAACTTCTATTCTAGTTCTAGAATGGAACTTCTTTTCTAGTTCTCTGGTGCATATATGTCACCGAGGATAGCAGACTGGCACCCGTAATTCAGAGACATCTAGCGTTGACAATTACAGTTAAAAACCCATAGAGAAGGAAGCGCTATATTTTAGGTGGAGATAGCTCGCATTAAATCTAAAAAAAAATGATATCGTACACGTACCAGCTACCACGTTTATATATATATATAATAATTAAATCTATTATCCCATAATTTATCATTCCCTTATCCATTATCATCTGCTGATATCGACATATTTTGCGTCCCCTATATTTATACTCAACTTTATGATGTCGACCTAGGTTTTGCCATATACTTATACTCATGTGTACGATGGATGTTGTGTTGTTTACGTACCTAATAATTACTACATAATTAATATTATGTTAATGTTTGTTGTTTATGTACGTAACAATTATTACATAATTAATGTTATCTTGATGATTGTTGTTTACGTACTTGTGCAGGTCCTGCCGTCGCCGGAGTAACCGAGTATGCACGTGCACGTGTAGCTGCCGACCGTGTTCGTGCAGTCGGCGTTGTCGTCGCAGTCGTCACTGTTCTCCGCACACTCGTCCACGTCTGCAGCGACAACGACACAGCGTCACCTCACACACACACACACACACACACACACACACACACACACACACACACACACACACACATACATCAACGCACTTTCTCTCTCTCTCTCTCTCTCTCTTTCACACACACACACACACACACTC